TATGTGTTTTATGTGTGTGTGTGTGTGTGTGTGTGTGTGTGTGTGCGTGCGTTTATGTTTTTAAAAAAACGGACTGAGTTCACGAAAATAAGAAGTAGGCAACGAAAATGAACGAGGTTGTGCAAACACAGTGTTCATCATTTTCTTTAACTGACTCTGTACAGGTTCGGCCACACCCTCATCCCCAGTAAATTCACGGTAGGGCGGGAGAAGATCCGACTTTTCCGCATGTTTAACCGGCCAAGGTTTGTGCTCCGGGATGATGGGCGCTCCATCGGCAAGTTCTGCTCCGGCCTCATGGAGGTAAGAAAAAAAACAACACATTATAACTATAGTTCTAGGTAGTCAGCTCTTCAATGGATGGCATTTGAGAGCCCCAAGGGCAGTATTCTATTCTGAACTGTCTTCGGGGAAGCGTAAGGTTGGCGTACTAAAAAAGGCGCTTCAAAGACACCCTGAAAATGTCCCTGAAGTGAAGGACTTCTACGTAAATACTTCAACACGGGAGAACCTATCTCTTGGCAGACCTAGCTGGAGAGCAGCAATCACAGTGGGCAGCAAATCCCTTGAGAATTGCTTAAACCAAGAGAGAAGTCCACAAGCTGCGCACTTCCAGAAAATGGAAGTGAAGCTTTTAGGAGTTCAAAATATGGCAAACTTTTCTTCGCCAGAATTGATCTCATCGGCCACAGCAGAAGCCAAACGTTATCTTAAACCTCTAATTCTTTTTTTAAAAAATACTTTTATTTGACGGAAAAAATATTCTCCTCTGAGGATGTATTGGTCTTCGCAAGACATTGACGGACGAGCTGTTTTGGCCATAGTTATAATTATCACATTTACCCCAGTAGTGTCGTCAATTATACTCAGGGGATAGTAATGTTCTGGAAGAGCAACAAGAGAGAAAAACAATGAAGAATCGAGCGATATGTTAAAAAAAAAAGATTTGTGTTTATATGAACGAAAACCCCCCAAAACAAAACGAAAAATAAACTAGAACAACACTTTCAGCCTTTTTCTGTATTTGCAACTTTCATGGAACATATTACAGAAATCTCAAAATGGCGGGTCTGTACAGTTACAAGAATCTGAGCGCTCGCGGTCTCAATGAACGATTACGTAATTCAACTTGATGCTAACCTAATGCCTTACTGTGTCCCACCATCTTTATCACTGTCTATGTCTCTCTCTTCCCAGGACCATGTGCAGCGGTATGATCGGTTCATCGTAAACGATTTGTCGGACCTGCTGTTCCAGGATCGTGACAACATCAGTATGGACCTGGCGTCACTCAACATACAGCGGGCGCGAGACCACGGCCTGCCGGGATATAACGAGTACAGGTGCAAAAAATGTGTTACGACACCTTGAAATCAGGCGCTCGTCAGTTTTTGGGCATGTGAAGTTATTGGTACCATCTGAAAGCTTATTCATTTGTTTTGTTTTTAATGTAAGAAAAGACCCATCTATCCTGAATAGAAGTCAAGATATCTGTAATTGAAGGAGTTGAGGTCGCCTCGTTTCAGTCGTGAAATTAGCGATAAAATGGTCGCAAGCTTTGGTAACTCCAATAGCTAGAGAGTCCTTGGAAACTGGAAAATGACATATTTTGTGCCTTTAATCAACATTTTGCAGTAAAATTCACATGAAAATACGTTTTTGTATGGACATGAAAGGGGTTGAGCCAAAAAGCAAAAATTCAATAAAAATTGCTTAACTGTCGGAAAAATGCCTCTTTCTCCGATTTCGTAATTTTGACGAGCGCCTGATCCCCCCCCCCTTGATGCCTCTAAAATAGATTGTGACTGTGCGTGTTTTAGTACCCCACCAGGGCGCAGTCTAAATCTTTCAGAAGTTGGACTGTTTTGCCCATGCCTGTCCGGGACAATTGTTGCTAAATGAGATACATCATTCCATGAGACATGCGGAGGTACTCGATAGAAAATTTCCACATTCGCGACTTGTTTTCACGCCTGTGTGTGACAGCGAGGCGCATAAGAGCTCAAACACACAGGCTCCGTAGAGACCATACTTTTTCCGGGCCAGAAAAATTCTGTACAGAAAAGTGTGGTTACCCCGTTCACACAGAGTCCATACAGACCATACAGATTTTTCCGGTTTCAAGATGGCGCTCACGAGAAAGGGCTGCTTTAGTGCCCTAGCATCCAAACGGCGTCACTGGATTCACCCAATTTGTAAAGACAGGGGAGTTTGGGAGAATTCAAATTTTGCCCCAAATAGTTGCTGTTGTTGAGAAATATTTGGAAAATTTTCGAATGACGCCAACAAAATTTTATGAACGAAATCTCTGTTGGAGTAACTTTTGTCTTTTTTTTTCATAATTAAAAAAGCGCTGTTCTTGCCCGCACACGTTCGATAAGCTGTGCATCGGCATCGTCCATTTTGCACCACGTGCGAAGTGTGTAGCGGAGTGTGTATGCGGCGTGTTTAGTGACGTCAACTCCCCTTTTCTGTCCGCACAGACCAGAAAATGTATGGCATTCTTGACGCAATCCTGATTGTTCGGGGGACGGAAAAAATCTGGACGCAGTGTTTGGCTTCTGTGTGCATGTCAAGTTGTAAAATGTAATTTTGAACGCAAGCAAACGCACTTTTTATGCATGCTCTGTATAGAGCCTGTGTGTTTGAGCTCTTACCCTTACTCCACAGACGTCAATACAGGCGCGCAGTGGTTCGACAACCCACTCTACAGCACGCAAAAAATCGTTTTGAAGACCCCCCCCCCTCCCTATTCCCCACCTTTTTCTCATCGGTAGCCTTTAGAAAGTTAATTACATTGCATGTATAATCTAGGATGCAGGGATTGATCGACCCTGATTGTCTTGACTTCTTTTGCGATTTAACATATTAGAAGACAGCAAAGATACTCGATACAAACATCTTGCCCCTTCAGGAATCGAACTCAGGCCTTCTGCGTACGCCAACGAAGACGTTAACCTTTACACACCCAAACACCTGTTAACATACCCGTCACATACACCCTTGTCACACATACGTATGTCTTCTTTTGCAGAGAGGTTTGCGGCATGCACAGGATCAAGAACTTCGAGCAGTTTTATCGAGAGGACCCGGAGCGAGCAGTGATCTTCCGAAGAGTTTATGAGTATGTAATCATAAGACATGTATTATTCCAAAGATCGTTTATAACACGATAGTTCACTCAGCCAAAAAAGTATCCGCGGAAGTCCGGGCATTGATTCATATGGCGCTGCAGTCTTTGTTTTGAAGCCATCTTTCGTTTCTCCAGAAGAAGAATATGAATAGCACAGTTTGTTAGTTTCACTTTTCTTGTTGAGTAGGGTAATTGCTATATTCTCAAAGTCCATACTTTTTCGAAGAAGGCGCCAGCGAATTTTCAGGACACTTTTTTACTTGGCTCAAAGAGAGGAGTGAACTATCTTGTAATACACGATTTTTGATTATTGAAGTCTATGTTTGCCATAGACTTGTACTTCTTGTATCCCAGACCATGCGCTGTCGTGGCCACCCCTTTTTGCTCTCTATAATTAATTGTCTGTGGAGCGTGCGCATCATGGGCTGCGCTAATACAGCCAAATAATGGACAAATGTGCTAAGATCCCAAAAGCTCTTATTGACGCAATTCTTAAAAAAAGAAATAAAAACATTAGTCTTTGTTGTGTGCACTTCTCTGCCAAACTAAAACGCAGATTCTAGACTTTTTTTCGAACAGTATTTACAGTGGGAACAAGTTGGGAGCACAGCAAAATACTCAACGCTACAGTCAGAGCACACTGCATCTTCAACCCTTGATTTTGGCTGTTATGGCGTGTCGCATAGTGATTCCGGATGTATGTCATTAGGCACGGTCAAGGATACACAGTTCAAATCTATGGTCTATCCCTCTGAATTGTTCTACCAATAGTTCAAGTCTGTTGTATGTCCCTAGACGGCTGTGAATGCTAGAAAAGTACTAGTAAAGACAGTGAAAATAAAGTAGAAATTAACAACAGAAATGTGACATTTATAAATACTGCTGAGAATTTTATGGAAAGAAAAAATTAAATGAGGTTGGGCTGAAAGAAACCAGCTTAAGACGTTTACTGATAAAAAAAAACAATTAGAAAGAGGCAGTAAATGCAGTTCTCAGAGCACTTGAATGGATCTACCTACAGCCCCAGACTCAATGACTGCAAGAGAACAATTAATAACTGCTCCAATTTTGCGCGGATCTGCGCCAAATTTGAATGCCATAATCTATTATCAAATTTGAACTGATCAGACGAGCACCGCAGCAACTGCGAAGTCTTTAAAGTAACCCAGAAAAGGCCATTTGTGCTAGAAAATAAGCTAAATTCAACTCCGAATAAAGGAGTTTAGCCTGTTATTGCATGGAGTGGGAGTTATTCCAGATCTAGATCTCGTGCACTCTGAAAGTGTCTTGTCCTCTCCAGCTGTCTTTCCCCCTGAAAAAAACGAGATACACATTTGGAGATTCTTAGGGTGGTAACCGTCTACCGATTGGTTTTATTCAGTGATGCCAATGTCTTTTGAATAGTTTTGCTGGCTCAAAATTTATTCTCCAGACATAATGCAAACACTAGGTAAATTAAGACGCAACAATTGAAAGAAATTATGATAAAATGAGATGAAAAATGTTACGATAATATAAGGTAAGATACGACTCAATAAGACATTATATGGTACGGTAATATAACATAAAACGGACCGAAAAAAGTACCTTTTTATTATTATTATTAATAAAAATTATTATTAACAAAATTGTCAATTAGATAATTTACATTATCACGATGTTTTTTAAGATCAGATAAAAAAGCAGAAGGGTAATAAGTCAAAATAAGATATGGTAAGAGGACGTACTTTACTTCACTTACTTTACTTTTCCGATCCACCGGCTATCTAGGTTCTGGTCCTTCTGACTGTCGACATGACAAAGAATTTACATTATCACGATGTTTTTTAAGATCAGATAAAAAAGCAGAAGGGTAATAAGTCAAAATAAGATATGGTAAGAGGACGTACTTTACTTCACTTACTTTACTTTTCCGATCCACCGGCTATCTAGGTTCTGGTCCTTCTGACTGTCGACATGACAAAGAATTTACAGGCTTTTGCCAGCTGTGTTTTGTCGCTGTCTTTCCGATATCTGGGGAGGCACATAGGTAGGTGCTACGCAGGTCGCTAAGTGCATGGTAAGCGGACAAAATACAATAGAAGATAAAGTTTGAAAGGGAACTTGAAGACAACATGAGATAAGAGAACCTTAGGTAAAATGAAATTTGGCAAGATTAATAAAAAGGTAAAATGAAGTAAGTAGGCATTGTCTGATGAACTGAGATAGTATTTTACGATATAGAGTACGATAGCCAAATGTAAAGAGGACAATGAGATAAACAAAGAATATTATTATCACAACACGTTAAAAGAAGACTAGGTACAATACTTCAAAGCAAGAGAAGAAATGAAAGGATGAAACAACTTAAAAATCATTGTTAACAAACTGTCAATAACTTAAATCCCCCCCCCCCGTGTTTTCTGCAGCCACGTGGATGATATCGACCTATTTCCCGCCGGGGTGTCCGAGCGGTCCCTCCCCGGGGCAGTAGTAGGCTCCACCTTCGCGTGTATCATCAGTCAGCAGTTCCGGAACCTCAAGTTTGGAGACCGTTACTGGTACGAGAATCAGAACCGACCGATGGCCTTCACACCAGGTAAAGGGACATAAACTATTGTTGAATCCCGTGATGTATCTGTAATTATAATTGTAGCCTAATACTTCATTATTATCATTATTATTATTTTTATAATAAATATAATAATAATTATTATTACTATTATTATTATTA